CCCATCTTCACATGTTGTATCGCCTGCCCTCTCTGCCCGTAAAATCTTAATACGGTTGTTCCTGTAAGAACAGGCTCAGTGGTTTCTTATGTTCATAAGGCCAGGCAATATGCTCAGATTCTCTCTTTTAGCCTTGTTCTCCTACTAGCAACAAGGTCCAGCACAGGTCTATCAATTATTTTTACTAGCCTTGCATCGTCAAGGCCGGTTCTGTCAGATGTTGTCAGTTCTGGGTCCCTTTCAGGTTTCAGTGTCCTCCTCTTTCTGGATCAGTTGTGGTATGAATCACTCCTGCCCGTTTTAGAGATGCGCATTAGGTCTTTTACCCTGATAGTCATGGCTTTGAGCTGTTCCAGTGGAGCTTCCAGGTTACTTGCATCCAACTAGCGTTGGCCAGTCTTGCCAGACCTTCCACACATTATTATTAGGTATCTGCAACTTGTGAGTCCTAGAGCCTGTCCTCAGTGCCTTCCCTGCCGCAGCAGCCCAAGTGACCAGCTCCACAGAGCCTGTGGGAAAAAAGCAACAGGGCATGTCCACTACGTTTGTCCTTTACAGGCTCCTCGCTGCCTTCTTTTCTTCTGCTGCGTTTGTACCTTGAAGGCAGCTCAGCCTCTGTGAAGATGGTTTGTTCTTCAGTTACTACATTATCTGCATCTTTGTGACCGTCTTCGGTACTTGGGCCACCTTCCCTGATTTTTCTACAGGGAGAAAGATCCACTAATTTTTGACTCATTTTCCTGAGTGTTTCTTGTTTGTATTCCTGTGCATTGCCAAGTCCTTTCATCCATTTACAAGCCTTAGCTTTGCTTACCAAGGTTTGTTGGGGAAACACAACGGTCTTCCCACAATCCTGAAGAGCTTTTCTGTGTCCAGTCTATTTTTTCTATCTTCACCCACTCCTAACACAACGGGAGGATGAGGGTTGAACATCTACACCTGCAGAAAGAGCCCTTCTTCTTGGTAGGTAATAAAACTGAGTCAGCATACCAGAAGTAAGACAGCCGTATCTTAAATACATGGGCCTGAAAGCAATTTTTTTGCTTTCACTTTTAGCATCCTGCACTTGCCAGAACTTGTCCTGTTACAAGCATGCTCTGTCTTAAGAATTTAGGTCTTGCCGTCTGGTATTCAGACAGAAAGGCAATTACACAGTCCCATTATTCTGACAGTTAAAAAGATTCAGACATTGTTCTTCTTGGACAATTCATACTGATTTGCTCCTTAGCCTAAATAAGCCTTCTCTCCAAGCTGTTAGCACCTTCACTTGTATAGAGACAGACAGAGAAGGCAATCAGACA